ATGTATATATATTTATAAATGATGAAATGATGTCTGTTGTTTGTAGAACTGTAATGAACGTGTGCGTTAGAATGAATGGTCAAATCATGAGGACGGGAACTTTGTCTAGTTCAAGTCATAGTAAAGTACCTGGTTACTGAGAAGGCCTCTGAGAAACTAGCGCTACAATGAACTTCACAAAAGTTTGATGAAAAGAAGATGATGAGGCACATAGAAACTTCAGCAGACACTCAAGAAAGACAATCTGGGTTCGTGAAAAGGTCAGCAATACTTGGCTTTCACTGTCATATTTTTTCTTGAGGATTTACCATTTCGATAACATGTGATTTCCAGGCACTACATTCATATTATCAGTTGTGCAACATGAAAAGAGAGGGGAGGGGGATAAATTTCCTTGGCAATTGAAAAGACCCTCAGAATTGGGACTGAGAAGAGGGATAAAAATGAGACGTCTCTGAATGTGAGACACTGGAAGCACAGAACCTGAGAAGCAGAGAAGAGTGTGGAATGATCCAGTTTGATTCTTTCACATCACAAAAACAGACTTGAGTCCCAAGGAAGAGACATGCTTGGTTCAGGGTCCCTGTGTGTGTGGTGGCTAAGCTGGCTAATGCCTCCTTGACTATGCCTTTGATCACACAATTCTAAATATGAGAATCATGAGTGATGAGGAAAAACCAAGCAGACAAAATGAACTAAGAGAAAACATGTTGGGATTGGCATCCCACTGTGCCAGACAAGTGCCACATCAGATGAGGCATGGGAAAGGACTGACCAGTCAACTCCACTGACCACTGAACAGGGAAGGGAAGGGCATTCCCAGTTTCATGAATTGAATGTATTGAAAGTTCCAATAAAGGAGATAATGTAATAGATATTTGATCAATTAAGATATGGCTTTCCCTTCCCAATTCCAGTTGTTTTTAGACTTGACAAAGCTTTTCTACACTCAAGAGTAGGGAACAGTGAATGCCAGCTTAGCGAAGAGGCCACTCATCTGCTCTAACACGGTGGCCCCAAGTCCGTCCCTTGTTCCATTGGGGCTGGTGGGTGAGGTGTGCTGTTGGGTGAGGGGAGACATAACAAGTTACATGCTAAAGAGGTAATCGAGAACAGTCTCTAAAATCCTGGTAAAATCTGGATTTGTTTTTTGCATTGATTTTGACTTTTAAAAAATATTGCATTACAGCATTTACCTTAATGATTGTGCTGTTTTTGGTGCCCACTTGATTTTACACCTGGCTAACCTCACTCTCACTCTTATCTCCACTGTGTATTAGAGTTTTAATCTATCCATACTTTCCGGGAGGACACAGAGGCTTTCTCCATTTGTTTTCCTCACTTCTCTCTTTATGTTAATGTTTTGATTCATGTTTGTGTACATCAGAGAGACAAAAACAAACTCCGAACAAACTGAACTTCTTACCCTGATTGGCAGTGGGAAGAAGATGGGCTGAATGTCACAAGACTCCAAGTAAATAGTTAACTCAAGGAATATTTTTCTTTTCGAAGAAAACAAAACCCTAACCAGCAACACAATCACTTATTAAGTAAGATCTATCAGAATGCGTGGAGGGAACCCAGCACTGGGCTGGTCTCAACAAGGAGGGCACAGTAGGAGAGTCAGGAAGTGTCACTCTGGGGTGACAATCCTTTTTTTTTTTTTAAAGATTTATTTATTTATGCAGACACAAACTGGGGTGTAGCCCAAGGTGTGGGAAGTGCAAGGATTCACCAGAGACAGAGTCGGGAGCAGAACAGGCGGATCTACTGAAACATACTGCTGAGGGGAACAGGGGGTGAGATAGGAGAGGTCTGCTGTGTCATGTGGGTCATCTCCCTGGCCAGGGTTCAAACTTGTGCTGCAGTGGTTGCCAATAGTTTTATCATGCTGAGACTGAACCCCTTGCACTATGTGGGAGGCTCCTGGGATGACAATTCTAGTTATCCTAGTTCATGGTACATGGTTTGGGGTAGGTAATATAGAGAATAGGTCCATCAGCAGAAAACTGATATTCTGGCATTCATAAATTTAAAGCAGTGTCACCTTCTCTTGATCCTGAGGGCTATTTCTTGACTTTCTCTCACCATTATGTTTGTGTGGGGATGAGCGATACCACCCCCAAAATTGACATTCTAAAACAGAGCCCTTCCATTCACCACATAAGGTTTAAAGAAGTATATTCTTAGAGTGAAAGAACTTTCATAGAATTAGAGTGCACAGAAAGAGAAGAAAGCCCAAATTACCCATCGCCTTGGGGGCAAATGTCCAGCCAAACTGGGTCAGCCCAAGGTTGAGGTGCTGAGAACTGAAAGCATGCCACAAGTCAAAGGCAGGCAACGATAGGAAAGGGCTTCTAAAGCAGGCCCCAGAAATTTGGAGCACAAGGACACCACCTCAAGATAACCGCTGCCACTGTCAGCCTCCCCAAGTATCTCCTCCACATGTCTCCTTCCCAGCAGCATCAAGGTGCAAGTCAAGCTGCAGGAACAGAGCTCTGCTCTCCTGGAACCAACCTTTCTCCTGAGTTTTATAGTTTCACCTGGCTGTTCAGTTCTACCTCGAGTTCCCAGTA